TGAAAATCAAGTTTTTAACCAAGACATATGACGAGTTAAATAATCAGTGTTTCCTCGAGGGGGGCGGGGCTAAATACACCTGAAATCTTGTCAGTACAGAGAGGGAGAGTTAGCATTAGCACAACTGCTAACACTTTGTCAGCCACCGTCAGTTACAAGCTAACAAACAACATAAACAAATGAAAAGATGCTAACTGCGCTAACGGTTCTGATCCGTCTGCTAGTCTCTGGTTCTGGTCTCAGACTCCTCCTCTGAGTCTGGGTCTGACTGAGTCTCTCTGATATCTCTGACCATCTTGATGCTCTCTGCTCTCTCACCTGTCCACCTGGAGCCAGCAGGTGGTGGGCGGGGCTCAAGGCCTGATCCAGATTACTCAATCAGGAAGTAAGAAGAGATGAGCTTCAGACCCAGTTATGATTTTTCTTTGAAACAAATGATTCATCATAGCAGAGGATATTTTTACAGAGTTTAAAACATGTCTGGAGGAACTTTAAAACACTTATCCTCATGAAAGAAGCAAAACGTGAGATTGGTTGCAGCACGATTAGTAAACAGAAGAATGTGGATCGAAGAGCAGACAAACATTCGAAAGAAGAAGAAGCATCAAAGCAGCGGAAAGATACGAAACACAACTTCCAGTCAGGACTTTCACAATAAAATCAGATGGGGAAACAGGATGACACCTTTAAACTGCATTTAAAAACAATAAAAATTTTTAATTTGAATAAATAATAAACATCTGAATAAGAAACTTTCTCTTGGAGACGAAAACTTTTCTTTGTACAATTTTCTATTAAATGGCACCTCGGCTCTGAGGCAAACAACAACAGATCCTCTTTTCCCGACGGACACGAATGCACCGCAGGTTTTGATTAAAGAGGGATCGCTCCTCTTTTGCCCTCCCTGACACTTTTCTCCCTTTTTTTTTTTTACTTGTATCACATGTTCTGCAGACTGTAGATCCTCTGAGACGAACTTGAGATTTTGTGTTATATAAATGACAAAATACTGAAAACTAACGCTGAATTTTTTTTTGCATCAGGTTTCAAGCGTCTGCGAGCTGATTCATTCACACATTCAAAAACACCACATGTTCCTTGATTGGCCGGAAGGATCTCAGGGATAAAAAAAAATAATAAAAAATAAATAAAAAAAAGCAGTGAGAACTCCCCACCGTCATTAGCGTTAGCACGTATGAGGCTTGTTAGTGTCACAGTGAGTGACTGCAGTAAATTTACATGAAAACACAACAACAGTGAAAAGTTTTCCTCCCAGAGAGAAACATTAAAATAAATCACCTCCTCTGCATCTGTGATCAGGCACATGACGTGCAAGAGTGCAAGACAGAGGCAATTAGACCACTTCACCTCTCAGAGGGACGACTGATGGATGAGGATTTCATTTCCTGGTTCTCCCATGAGCCTCTCTCTCACACACACACACACACACACACACACACACACACACACACACACACCTGTTTGTCGTGGAGGAATGAATTAGACATCCTGAAGTGGTCGGAGGAAGTCGATAAAGAAACCGTCATTTAATCACCTGTCACTCAGGTGAATTGGAGGGGGGGGGGGGTTATCGCCAACAGAGCTGCGTTCAGGATCAAATCATCTGGAAGAAAATGCACCAGCTCCCGCACAAACTCGTCCAGAATAACAAGAGGAGAGACGACTCACTGTTCCAGCTGATCGTGGACGGAAAGTTTGATTGTTTCTTCATCATCGAATAGTGATTTTCAAATCCAGAGCAGCAACTGTAATTCTAATAATATATCATTAAAGTACGATCAGTTTTATTACAGTTCATTCTGAGAGTCTCTCTCTTCATGGTGTGTATGATGTCACTGGCTCATCACAGCCACAGGCCTGAATATGCGAGTGAAGATCATCTAATTTAAAAACACTTAAAAACATTATTAATATTAGATATGGGACAGTTTATTATAGAAACTGCAGCTTTTAGTTGGAGCCCAGTGTTCATTAACTGCGTATATAGATCTTGATATATTAATAAGAGGTTTAATGCACCTTGATATGGACGTGATAGTTTATCATTTAGCTTCTTTTCCAGGTGTCTGAACCGTCAGGATTCATTAATAATCTGGCAAAAAAAAGAGGAAATTTCCGTCTTTTAATAAAACTTCATCCATCATGTTCATAAAAGTAGATGAGTCAAGTGTCAAAAGAAGAAGAAGAAGAAGAAGAAGAAGAAGAAGAAGTGATTAGCTCTGCAGCAGTCTCACCGGTCGTACGCTGCTGACACGCGATGACAAATAAATCAACATTTCAGATTTGAGACGCAGCCACAGAGCTCCAGTGTGGACAAGATGACAATGAGAAGAAAATGGCAGCAGGGCGGCGACGGGCTCCAACACAAAAGCTCACAGGCGATAATTAATGAGTGTGATGGACAGAGAGGAGGACGTGTGCTGCAGCATGAGACGGAGACGACGGCAGGGCGCAGTGGTAACGTCTTATTAATTAATTCGTGGTCGTCGTGATGAGCGTAAACATGGTGGCTGTCAGCAGGTGTGGAGAGCTCTCACTCTGGGCGCTTTTCCCTGCGCAGTCGTGTGTTTGTTCATTTATCTTTGCTCAGCTTTGTTGTCCTTGTTGTTTATCTGCCTGGACACAGTGATGTTAGTGTTATGTAGTGTGTGTGTGTGTGTGTGTGTGTGTGTGTGTGTGTGAGGACACTGAGACACACTAGGAGTCAAAATCCCTGTGTGCACAAACACCGTGTCCGATACGTTACGTTTTCTACTTCAGTCCGACACTTGAGGTTTCGTTTCTCCTGAGCTGAGGGAGTTACTTCAAGGTGTTACACCGAATCTCTTAAAAGGTTTCCTTAGGTAAGCTGAAGTCTTTCACTGGGAGAAATAAACATCATCTGATAATGATGCGGGGAACGCGGCGGTTCGGTTGGTTGGTTTGAGCGAGCAGCTGGAGCCCCCCCCCCCACGCAGACACAGGTGCTCCTCTGTCCTCCCACTGTCCGGATGCAGGCGGGTTAATTGGTGACTGTAGGTGCGAATGTCTGTTTGTCTCCAGGGGCGACCCCGCCTCCTGCTGCGGCACCCGCCCCCACCTCAAAGGAGGAGCGGTCGAGCTGATGGATGGATGGATGGATGGATGGATGGATGGATGGATGGATGGATGGATGGATGTCCTGAGGAATGTCGGTGTGAAATCCTGTCAGGGAGTTTCTTCCTCTGCTGGTAATGATTCAGCTCCTCCTCCTCCTCCTGTGTGTCTGCTCATGCAGGGGAATTTCTTTTGGTGGAGGTTTTTTGTTCCCCACAGTATGATGTTCAGGTGACACTAGAAAACAAGACTCTCTCCCTCCCTCCCTCGCATCTAAAAACAACCACAAACAGGACAAGGTTTCATACGTCCTTTGCATGATGCTGCATTGATCTCAGAGCAGGTAGAAACATCATGTCCCAATGACTCAGCATGGTGACAGGAAGTCCCACGTCGCTCACCTGTACGAGCCTGGCAGAGTTCATCAGGAGCCGAACTCCAAATTTCCCACTGGAAATTTAAAAAGATAACTGCCTCAAAAATCATAGTTTCAGCTGGAAACTGTAGTTTTAACAAACACTCATAAAAACAATAAATGCAAAGTTATGTCTTTTGGTTCTGAGCGAGTCAGAACACCTTGTGACCAGCGTCACGGTCGTGTTTAAACGCACGCGACCTTGAGTTTATTTGAAACGAGGATGACGCAGAGTTGGAGCTGAAAACAGATCGTCTCGCGTTTCTCCGCAGTGACGAAACATCTCGCAGCCACTTCACATGATAAATGAACAACACAGCAACGAATCCCTGTCGTCGTCATTATGTGTGTGACGGAGGACGACGACGCCGACGTCCACTGAGGAAGACACGTCGTCTCTCTTTGATCATCTGGCGCGAACGCCGCGACTCGAGAGTTTCACTGAGATCCTCTCGTCTCACACTCGCTGGCAATTAAGACGACGAGTGGCAAGTTCCCGATAAGATCTCCAGCTCATACCAGATTACAGGCGCTCCGGCATGAAGAGGGAGGGGGGTAAAGATGAGGGGGGGAGATAGAGGGAGAGGCAGAGGACCAACAGATAACAGAGAGACAGGGTGTAAAACTGGAATAATAAGAGTGAGGAAATTCACTGCAATCTCTGCTCGCAGCTGTCCTCCTCCTCCGACGGCGCCGAGACGGAAACTGGAGCCGTCAGGGGAGGGTTTTGTCACGGCGTCTCTGGAGGAGTCAGGAGACGCATTTCCTTCCAAACTCCAAAATGTCAATGAAACAGAAAATCCATGTGGAATTACTGAGAGTTTCTGTCTCAAACACGTTTACGCAGCGATGACGCGATCGAAACGAAACGGTGTGTGGTGACGCTTTAGTTGGGGAGGGGGGGGAGGGGGGGCAGCTGCCGGGTCGATGTTTCTAATCTGTTTCAGTCTGACGCTGCTGAAAAATTTCATTACTTTGTGCCGTGAGAGTTCAACAACCACTCAGTCATCAGAGGCGTGGACGGAGGAGGACGGAGGCGCCGCTCTCCCACGACCACGAATACCTGAGTGCAATTGTTTGGAGGTGATTAAGGGAAAACCTGGGGCTGTGGTTCAGAGTTCATGGAGGCGCTTTGTTTATAATCAGTCATACAGTAACATTAAAGGTCTGTGTCCATGTGTAGTGTGATTATAGATCAGGTCTAGCTTCTATATTAATACTGTGAAAGTATCAAAGCCTCAGTCCACAGAGAAATGCACACAGCCTGTATTCAGAAACTGAGCCTTAAAACCAGCCGTCAGGACTTCTGGAACTTTGTGATGTCACAACAAAGCAGTCACCAAGCCCCGCCCACCTGGACCCACCATCCAAACCTGTATGAAAACACACGCAGACACTGCAGTCCAAGTCATCACGTCCCCTAACTCGGATTCACCTCAGGCGTGTGAAGCCAAGTAGAGACAAAAGAGTAAAGACAAAGTCTTCTTGCCTCATAGTAGCTCCTCACGGCGTTGCAGAAAGCTTCATCCGCCACAATCTGCGTCTCCCCGTTGAGGAAGGCCAGAAATCTGTCCTTCACCGCCTGCAGCTGCTGCTTGTTCACCTGAGAGACAGAGAGGAGAAATGATGAGGATGATGATGATGATGATGATGGAGGAGAAAAATGAAGCAGGGGAGGAAGTTTGGGAGGAGAAGTGAGAGGAGAGAGGGCGTGATCAATCAGAAACAGATGGAGAGGAAGAGCAGAGGATGAGAGACGGAACAAAAAGAACAAGATTAGACTCATTGTTAAAGTGCGACACTGTCATTACGGAGAAGACGAGTCTCATTATCAAACAAATGTCTTTCATTAGGAAACCCAGTTCGCCAAAAACAACAGAGGAAGACAAATCTGTCTGAGTGAGACTGGGGAGAAAGTTCAGACAAGTTTTAAGACGGATGGAGAAAAAATAAAGGAGCAGACCAAAGATTTTAGTTCGTTAACCACCGACTGGTTTTATTTTACTTCGGTTTCCTTCCAGACGAACTTTAGTTTCAGGTCTTTTTTTTTTTAGTTCATCTGTCGACAAAGACTTAAAACAATGACATCCTGGTAAATGCATGTGTGTGTGTGTGAGACACGCTGACATTAACATACACACAATCTTTTATACAACTGCTCTGATAAGGGATTAATGGGTTAAATCATTGATCAGTATCACTGTGAGCTCAGTATCTTTGGGTTCGTTGGACAAAAGCAGAGATTTAAGGACATGAACTCATGAATTCATAAAGTGGATGTTTTTAAACCGATAAACACTTGATTAATAATGAACTGATGATGAAAATAATCACTAACTGCAGCACTCACTCGTCCGTCTCTTCACCCGTCCACTGTGAACTTCTCTCAAGCATCTAGTTTGGTGAAATAAACATTTTTGCGTCCACAACACTCTCCAGAGGAGCGACTCTCAGCTGAGCGGAGCGGAGAAAAGAAATCTCTCCCATAAATGTCATCGGCCGCCGCAATTTCTGCCCAGTGAACCACAGCTGACATATTGTGCTGTATGAGAATTTTAAGTTTTCATGAGCGACAGAAATCACCAGAACCCGCAGCTCATAAGCTGCATATGTATGAGGCGTCAGGAGGACGGTGGCGGCGGCGGCGGCGCGGCTCTGGCGTCGTAGGGGGAAAATTGAACCATTATTCTTCCGCTTGTTGTGACGCTGCCAGCAACACAAATACATTGTGGAAGTCAAAGTGCCAATTTCCAGTGACACAAAGTGGGCAGCGACTTATCTCACGCTGCCAGCTTTTTGTGTGGGCTCCTGCACGTTTCCTGGGTCTAAATGGAAACGCCGCAGTTCGCCTTTCACCGCAGGAGGAGGAGGAGGAGGAGGAGGATGGGGGGGGTGAATTTATGAAAAGCAGCAGGTTGTGGTCGTTCACATTCAAAATGACTCAACCTCAATCTAACAGGTTGAAAAGGTGAAACACAGTTCATTAGAGATAAGGAAACTCCCGCTGAAGGCCGCTGCAGCAGCCTGAGCAAACACTCATTTGTCCTCTCATGATGTTTTGGGGGGGATGAGACAAGTTTGTAGATCTGAATTAGAAAACTGGTTCATCACAAAGCTGTGAGAAGGGAGAGAGAGGAGTGTGGAGAGACGGCAGCCAGACGTTAAAAACAAAACCCTTTAATGAAGTCACAGCGGCGGCGGCGGCGGAGGAGGATCTGCTCCTTCAGTTGTTTCAGCAGCGACACGAAACTGAGCCGTCATGAATTTATCATCCAAGGAAAATAATCATGTTTATCTTCTTTTCATTCACCATCCACACCCGAACACTGCACCGTGAAGAGCTGCACTTCAGATACTAGTGCTCGTATATTTTCAAGCCTGGAGGTAGTTACTCTTTAAAAGGTCCCACATCATATCTACAGGTCTCTGTCCATGTGTAGTGTGATTATAGATCAGCTCTAGCTTCTATATTAATACTGTGAAAGTATCAAAGCCTCAGTCCACAGAGAAATGCACACAGCCTGTATTCAGAAACTGAGCCTTAAAACCAGCCGTCAGGACTTCCTGTGACTTTGTGATGTCACAAGGAGGCAGTCACTGCCCTTTTGTTGCTGCAGATAATACTGTAACTATGATGTTTATGAATTTAACAAAGCTACTGCATTTGTTACAAAAGGACTTCCTGTAAATGTTCTTGTTTCTTCTTGAGGGCAGTTTTGTGAATTCCCCATTATTTTAATTTGTAGTTTACATGCACAGGTTGAAATGATTTGAGTTCCCTTTAAAATGTAGTTTAAGAAATGACCCAGATGTTCAGAGATGTAGTTTGTTATTGTCAGGATACGAAATGTTAAAAGCTTCAACTGTATCATCATCATCAGGGAGGAACTTGACGTGTTCTTGGGGCTCGATGTCGTTGGTAAAATGTTGACGACACTTTTCAGACTTAATCTCGGGAGGTGCAGAAATATTAGACGGCCAAATTCGTGTCATGATTTCCTCTTCCCAGACTGATTTGTAGCTTTAATTCAGTCTCCTCCATGTTCTCTGTGTAGACACTCGAGTAGATTATGTTCTTTCTCCCTTTCAATAAAAATACTCAAAATCATTTCCTGCTGCGAAAACCTTTCCGGCTGAACTTTGGAGCCTCTCTCTTCCTTTTTATCACCGTCTCTTTTCAGGTGACTGAAGCAGTAATGGCTTCCCATGGACAAAATGCATCCTGTCCGTGAAATGAGAAAAAGAAGCTGGATATGTGCGGTGAAAAGCCGCCTGTCAGGTTTCTGGTGAATTTCTGTTCGTGCCTCCTCCTCTGCTCCTCTTTGTCCAGGAAATGGATTTATCCCGGGGGGAGAGGGCGGGGGGGCACTTCTGCTACGGTGACAGAAAACGTCCAGGTGGCGGTTTCATTTCCCTTTTTCAGGAACGTCATTCCTGCACGTCCGGCTCAAATCGCCGCTCTTCGAAAAAAAAACCTCCCCGCCGAGCAGAGCCGCTCTGAGGTCGGCAGGTCAACGGCTCTAAATGTTCGGGGGGGGAGTGTCGGCTCTTAGAGCAGCGCTCAGCGAGCGGACACGATTAACTGCTGCCGGATTTTCATTTCCCTGCAACACAGAGCTCTGCAGCTTCTCCTCACCGGCCCATCTCTAATCTCAACAACTGTTCAAACAGGAAGTCAAAAGGCAAATAGTTCGACCTGCGCCAGGCCAGAGGCAGCACGTCAGACATCCTGGCACCATTTAAAATGAATTAAACACTAGCAGTTCCTGTTTGAAATGTACCCACAGATGTAGAACTGGATTCGTCACTGGATTCGTTTGAAACTGAAGAAAATTTAAAAACCAGATGATTCTCAGGCAAGTTCAGAGTTTTAATAAAGGAGAGTCTTGTTCTTATGATTTCTCTTATCTCCACACATGGGGGCAAGGCTGAGACAGCTTCCTGCCCTCAGCGGGAGACGGTCGCTTCAACACCTCCTCAGCAGCTGCCCCAAAGCCCTGGCTGATGGACGCCACCGCCGGCAAACGCCAAACGGAGCTGGAGAGAAGTCATTCCAGTCACACCCAACAACAGGATCAAACTCCACTGACCGTTCCTTGATCACGTCGCTCAAACAACACTCCGGCCAGACTTGATTATTTCTTGCGGCGCCACCCAGCAGGCGTTCATGTTCTGTGGGGGAGGCTCATAAGAAGTGGGCTGCCGAGGTCTCGCAGGGCGCTCGCTCTGTAAAGCCTCGATCACACAGTCCATCCCTGAAGCTGCAGAAAGAGCCACCAGCTGGGTTTGGATAACGAGGGCAATCCTGCGGCTCGTTGCTGTTAACTTCATCAACCCCGGCTAGGTCACCTGGGGGAGGGGGGGGGGTCTGATGTTCAAAGACCTGAAACCTTCTCCGACCCCAGGAACATCACTGAGGATCCACCTCGGCACATCTGACAGATGTGATTTTGCATCCAGCAGATTTACAGACGTTTATCTCCAGTGTATCGGGAATAATGAAATAATCCACGCTGAACCTGAAAGTGTGTTTCATGTCTGCGTGTTCAGATTTGACTTAGTTATGATTCTTGATGCAAATTAAAAGGGTGAAATGCAAATTTAAAGTATCTTAGCTGCCTCCATGAGCTGCGTGCAGCCACATCCACCAAACCTGCAGGTTCACCAGCATGTACCTGTCTGCTCCACCTCATGCAGCATCTTTACCTCATGTTTCTCGGAGTCGATGAACGTTGATGATGCGGCATGAACTACAAACTAAAAAGACCGGATGAGAGAGGATTCGGACGCTGGAGGATCAGACCAGAGGAAACGGTCTGAGCCTTCCTCGTCAGTCAGTGTGATCTGAGCAGAACAGACAGCCGGTCGCAAAAACTGTCAAACTGTCAATCATCATCAATCAATCCAAAGAAATCAATCCGAAACCGTTTCCCTGTCGAATTCACAAAACTGATCAGATGTGAAACATGAGGCAGAACGAACCAAAACACCTTCAGTCCCGTTGTCAGTCAGTTAATGATCGTGTTACTGCAGACGTCCTGGAGGCAGAAAAAGTTTCATTTAAAAAAAAAAAAAACTTTTTCTGGAGGTGGGAAACAAAGTCTGACATCTCCAGGAAAACAAGAACTTCTTTAGAGACTCGGGAAGTTTCACAGCAGGAACCAGGAACCAGGGCTGTGGTCAGGACTCATTCAGACACGAGGTTTACATAACCAGGTGCATCTCTGACAAAGGATTACATCTTCATAAACAAAATCAGCATCTTTGTTAACCGCTGTGCACAACACCTGTCAGAGCGGCTGTGACGGCGCTCCCCGTGATGAGAAGCTGTTTCCAGGTTACAGGAGAGACTCTGTCGACGCCACGAGACCAGAAGTTTAACAGCTTTTTCATTTCCTGCTGCGACAGTGAAGCATCCGACCTGCTGCTCCTCTGTCTGTCTGTCTGAGGCGGCGAAGTTTTACCAGGTGTGTGTGTGTGTGTGTGTGTGTGTGTTTGCGAATGCAGTGCACATTAGCGTTTGTTTATGCTCGGAGGCTTTAATTTGAGTTCCTTCCTCTCCTGGAAGGAGGTGATAGTTTATCGGGGACAGTTAGCAGCTTA